AAGATATGTGAAAAGCCTAAATATGGTGAGCTTTGCTACATGTAAATAAGTGTCTCAATAATCAAAGCCTCTAATATGTTTGTGACCTTTGGCAACTAGTCTTACCTTGAACTTATCTATACTTCCATCTGATTTATGCTTAATTTTATATAACCATATGCAACCTATTATATATTGGGTGTAAGGTCAACAATTTCCCAAATTCCCGTTTTATCAAGTGCATCAAGATCAACTTTCACATATTAGTTCATACAATCAAATTCGTTAGGCTCATTTTAAGATTTAGGTTTAATATGTGTGGTAAATGAGAGACTAAAATGACAAAGAGAAAGAGATAATTAAAAATATGAAATAAATTAGATAAGGAATAAGGATTACCTGAAGAGGTTTGATTCACCCTTAAAAGAAGAACACGCATAGTCTTTAAATGTTATTGTTAATGTCTAACCCTTGATGATACCAATTGGGAATAAATATAGTATGAGATTGAATCTCATCGGGTATGAATGATATGATAGGATTTAGTTGGAAATTATCATAATGTGATGTATGATCGAAATATATTAGATTTGTTCAAGGTATTTGTGGTTCTTGTTCATGATAATTTGGTAAACTAGACTTTGGCTTGTTATGCAAGTCACTGAAGTATTCTCGACTATGAGTGGTAGGTGGATTTTGATTATGGTATGGTAAGATATTTTAATGAAAAGTGACATTATTTGATATAAAAATTACTTGTGAATGAAGATCTAACAAGGAAAAACCTTTGAAATCGACAACATACCCTAAAAATATAGATTTTATGTCCCTACAAGCAAGTTTGGTTATATCGTTTTATAAAGTATGTTGAGTGTGAATATGGAAATAGAAAACATTCTAGAGGGTGGTGAGTAGACTTTTAAAAATAAAATCAACTGATTCTTCAAATTACAATAACCAGAAGTTTTTCAAAGTTTGCGCGCGGAAGTTTATCGAGCGAAAATGTGAAGTTATACTCAATTGAAAATTATTCAGTAACAACTCAAATCACTTTATAAATATTGTAATGTCTAGATGAAGAAACACAATTTATGTGATTGAATCAATTGAGTAAGTCACGAGATGTGGTTACGCAATCAATCAACAAGGAAAATTCTAAAAGCATGACGTTTGGCAGATTTTAATCACCACTAAAGCTCTTTATAGGTTTCCAATTCCAACAAAATCAAAGCTTATTAATTAAACCTCTATTACCAAAATATAATCCTAAGCATGCATGTTCTATGATATTCAAATTGAAGAGTAAGAGATAGAGAGATGACACTGGGATTTATAGTTGTTCGACTCGGACATCCTCGCGTGAGTCTATGTCTACTTTAATAGTTGTTCCTTTATTTTGAAAAATATATTGAGAGTATATACAATCACTAGTCCACAATAAATTTTAAGAAAAATGTCAAATAAAATATTTGATCTTGACCTTGACTTGTATATGGAAAATTCCAAACCCTCACGCGCAATCTTCAGTCAATTAATGCTTCCAATATTCCAATATCACCAATTCTGCTTTAAGCCTTCGTGTGTAGAAAACAACTCCTTGATCCTACCGATTTCTTGAGCAGTGAATTGTCTGAAGATGTTAAAAGAACTCCTCCTTATTCGTAGCCTTCCACACAGTCACTACTAAGGTAATTATGTAGAGAAGACCTTTTTCTTTTCACTGGAATTTGTCAGCACCAATGACAACAACCCCAATCTTGCAAGAACCTGGAAATCTTTGAGTGAATATCCTAAAATAGTTAGTTTCAAGATAATGTCTCCCCCAATCAATTAACATTCACTCGTGATCAAGATATGAAAATTGAAATAAGGTCGAAGATGAAAGATTTCTAATGCAAGAGTTTCAAAAGAGGTGGTTGATTTTTTTACAGAAATTCACAAAATGATTATGAACTCTCACAAAATGTTATGAAAATCTTACATGAACAAATGTTGACAAAGGCTTATATATGTTCTTGATATGAAGCACATAAAAGACATAAAAAGATTGGCTAGATTCGAATCAAAGTCAATGCATGTAATGAGTCAAATGAGCAAGTGAATAGAATAAAAGAGATTCAGAACTTTTGACCCATTTGTAGTTGATTCGAATAGTGTGCAATGAGTGATTCAAATCATAGGCCCCCATGATTCGAATCATGTGCAATAATTGATTCGAATCAATTTCTCTAAGAAATTTAGAAAAACAAAAAAAAGTTGCATGGAATTGAATCATGTGAAAATTATGATTCAAATCAATTTGGACAAAAGTGACAGGAATATGTCTAATTCAAATCATGTGTAAAACATGATTTAAATCAAATGTTTTTTGAAAACTTTTGGTCACCTCTGTTTTATTTTATTATAATCACATGTTGTGTATAAATGATTGATTCGAATCAATACATCAAAACACAATTCTTTTTATTATTTTAAAGTTTCCCCTTGCACCTAATTTTAATTAAACACACGGGAGTTTTATTCCACAAACTCGTGCACTTGAATAAGAACATTTTGAGCAAGTTAAAACATAACCAAGGGTTTATGCATACTAAAGGATTTGAGAATCAATTTGAAACTTGATTTAAGGTGTGTAATTTAAGAGGGAGACTCAATAAAAGGAAATAAACAAAAGTAATAAGAAAATCAACAAAAATAATTGTATCGGGGTTTCCCCCCTGCATATGATAAGGACATGCAACCAACCCTCATTAGGAATGTGCAACTACAAAGTAAAATCATATAAGAGGGAGAACCAAAAACATTTATTTGACTCATGATAGGTTAATAATTGTGAATTTTTTGATTTGGTAACTTATTGTTTAACAAATGAGTATTGACTCTATTAATGATTATGTGGAATATGAGACTGCATAAGAACGAAAATGTTTAGGAAGTTTTGACATGTATAATAGTGTTCTTCCTACATTTAAAAGATGTTGATATTTTCTTTCAACCCTTTCATTTGGTTAAGGTGATTCTACAAAATATATGTGATGTATGATACCTTTAGATGTATATAATTTTGGAATAAGAAACTCGAGACCATTACCAATTCTGATAAACTTATTTGAAATTGATTTTATAGATTGAGAAACGAGTACATCAATTTGAGCATCAACATTAATCATAAGCCTATATAATCCTTCAATTTGACTAGTCAAACAAATCATCTTATGTGACTTCAAATCTTAAAACATGCATTTATTTTCAAAGAAATAAAGCACACCATTAAGAGAATGACCTTCACATCATTCATTCATTTTGATCTTTAATAAAATGAGACTTCGGGTATCTCTAATTCTCTATTAAATATTGTTTGATTGAAGATCAAAATGAGTGAATGATGTGGAGATATGGTTAGAACTAGGAATAACATTTGAAGGTTGAGATTAAGGAAACAAATTTGTCTATTGTAATAAAATGATCAAGTAAGTATATTATTCTTGAGTAATGCTGGATTGATTATTTAATGAGACTTATTATCCAAATTAAACCTGATTTGTTCCTCCCCACCATTGAACTACAGTCATTAGCAGAAACTTGTTTCTTGTCAAAATGAGGAGGGTAGCCATATTTTATGTAATACACATTTTTGGTGTGATCCACACTATTACAATAAGTGTGGAAACAAGTATCCTTCTTATAACCATTATAACTAGTTGATGTAGGATTTCTACCACGATCTTGTGGATTTCTGGCATTCTACGCATTATTCAGAATATTTGATTCTTCAACATTAAAATTATTATCAAGTTTAGGAAGTAATGCAATGTTGTTACTTTCCTCTTGAATCACTATAGAATAAATCTTTTTAATTTAAGGAAGCGATTCCATTAATAGAACTTGAGTTTTGATGATAAAAAAAACCATCATTCAAACCTATTAAGAACTGAATGATTTGACCTTCAAGGCGAAATTCTTGTTCAGAATGCATAGATTTGCATTTACATTGATGAATGCATGTACAAACAAACATAAATGTGCATGAATTAAGTTATTCACATAGACCAAACATCTCAAAAAACAATCCAAAACATATTTGGAACCTTGTTTGAAATTATTGACATCAACATGAAGATTTGAGACACGAGTTCAATCAGCTTTGGCAAAACATTCTTTAAGTTTATTCCACAAATCTAAAGCATTTTCCAAGAAAAAAATTGTTTGATTGATAGGTTCATTAAATGAATTTAGAATCCATGAATGAACTATGTAGTTGCAATGCTCCCACATAACTCTGTTGGATAGATCCATCAACAAATGACAACTTGGTTTTGGCGCCAAGAGCTTGTTGCATGGATCATAACCATGACTGATAATTGGAACCATTCAATGGAGGTGTATGTTTCACTAATATAGGACCTTCACTTGGATGAATGTATTATTTAAACCAATGTCAGCATTGGAGACACAAATATGAGGTTGATTTGCACGCGGATCAAAGATGATGCACAATCAACGAAGGATAAGATGTGAAGAAATTGCAAAAATCAATATAAAAGTTTATGATAATTGAATTGATTTTGTGACTGATACCATATTAGAATTAAAGAAATTCATGATTAACTTGAACTCAAAATAAAAAGTGGTAAAGTGTTTCTCTTGCATTAGCATGATAACAACAAAGTTTGTATATATACAAAGATGTGATGGAACACCATAATTATCCTACTATGACCTTATTGGATTGTTACTTACACGTCAAGTAATCATAATTCAGACTAATGAACAAGTTGAAAATTACCACCACTTAACTAACTTCAAGGTTTAACTAATTTTTCTAACTTCATCATCATTGTGTAATACATTTTATAACTATTATTTGATCTTATTAGAGAAAACTGAAGGCGGAAAACCCCATAGAAGAAAAATTAAAGGTGGAAAAACATATATCTTATATGATTCGTTAAGACATAGAAAAATGAAAATTTGTACAAACTATATAATACACAATGCGATGATGTTATTCCTTCTTTTTGCTAAAAAAGCTGCTCCTTCTTCTCATGAAACCATCTCCAGCTGCAGTAAAAACATATTATTATCATTTTCATATTTTGATATTTAAAATAAATTGATTAGATTAGAGACTAGAGATTAAACTTACCAATGATAATCCCATCTAGGTCTAACTTTAGACATACGATTTTCACCATGCGGATAATCAGTTTGAGCTCTTCTTGCATTTCTAAAAGCACAACATCCAATAGAATATATTCCTATAAGAAAAACAAGAACAACAACACTAAGAACTGAGATTTTGTGCCAATCTCTTCTAATATTCTCAAGTACACCAGCTTTGCATGAGTCACAATTGTAACATAGTATGTTTGCTGCATTGTTCCAACGATAACAATCATTGTCTTCCATGTTGGTGTTGCATGATGTTGGTGGTTTACAACATCCAGACTGCATTTATTCAACAATTCAACAATTCATTAATTAAACCAAAGTTTTTAAAATGATTGTTCAAAAGCTAAGATCAACCACGTAAGTATGACTATGTATATAAACATTTGATATGTCGGAAAGTAAATTCAAATTTGTTATTCTTCCCTTATCTTTGTTGAAGATGGGCAATTTTCGCCAATAGACTTGGATGGTAAAATGAGCCGGACCTGCCCGTTTTGCCCTCTATTTTTGGCGGATTGAAATAAAGTTTTCAACTCTATCCTGCCTCGTTTTTGGCGGATTGAAATAAAGTTTTCAACTCTATCCTGCCTCGTTTTTGGCGGATGCATGGCTAAATGGGATGAGCATAATTTTTTTCATTTTTAAATTTTAGGGATGACAGAGATTGTTGCACCCACCTTGTTTTTTGATGAGCCTAAAGAGGGTGAACATAGTTTTTTTCTTCACTTTTTAAACTTTATAGATGATAGGATTTGTCCTATTTGGCGGACACATGCCTAAACGGGACAAATGTGACTTTTTATTATTGTCATTTTTAGGCTTTAGAGGTGGCAAGTTCTATCACACATGCTCCGTTCTTTGACATACCTAAATATGACGAACATGATTTTTTTTACCACTTTTTCACTTTAAGGGTGACCGGAGTCGTACTTTTTTTTGGCAAACGCATTGCCTAAACATGACATACATGATTTTTTTTATTGTCATTTTTAGGATTTAGAGGCGGCAGGGCTTGTCACACCCGTCTCGTTTTTTGACGCACATAAATAAGAGAAACATGATTTTTTTTTATCCCTTTAAAATTTTATGGGTAAAGAATTTATATAAATTTTTAACAAATTCAAACGGGATAGACATGCTCGTTTGTCATCCAATTATAAATTATTATTTTGCATAAATAAAAAATTGAAAAAGAAAATTATTTTGTACCTGAATTGGGGACATATCTTTCTCCATAACATCGAGAGATGTCCAAGAAGCAAGTTTAGAACAAGTATTAGACCCCATAATACAACTCCTCATAGTACTCCAATAATGAGGATCCTTAATCTTATTCCTCAACCATATTGAATACTTCTCGAGATGATATTCCATATAAACCCTACTAGGAACTTCAACACCTCCACCTTGACTAGTCACAGCAAATCCAAATATAGTCAACCCTATAATAGCTGCTATAACCAACAACATAATCACCAAATAAACCCAAAGTACCCATGCCACATGAAAACATGCTCCTATGAAACCAAATAGTGAAATCATAAGAACAATAAATCCTATAATTAAAAGTGGTGTTTGGAAGAAATTTTCACACGTTGTTGTGCTTCTTGAAATCCATAGTCCTGCTCCTATTATTGGTATTGATGCTAAGAGTGTGAAGAAGTTCAAGAAACCTATCACTGAGTTGCTGAATCGTTGCATCGCTCTTAAATATTTTCTATCTTTTTGCTTTGGTTTTTCTGAGGGACATGAATTTGTATATATATGCACTTGTAATCTTTTGTTGATTTTTTTTATATTGTCACTTGCATAAAGTTTTTAGAGTTTCGATATACTTATATATTCTTTCAACTTTTAGAAAAAGTTAGTTTTTATTCTTAGCTTAGTTATTAAGATGTTCACAATTTTTGAGTGGTTCACTTCTATGCCTATCCGATGAGAATATAATCAAATTAAAGAATTAGTATCAATATGACAAAGAATTTTTATGAGGTAAAGATGAATTATGGAAAGAAAAAAAAAACAATATATGAATTTTTATGAGTGGTCCACTTTGATTTAAAGAAAGAAAAATTAGTATCAATATAGTTCATGAAAGTTACAACCGCTCATAATCTAAGAAAATCATAACAATACATAGTTTATACTAAAGCATCTTTAACACATGTTTTATATTTTCATGATTTAACCAATTATTCACAAAAAAAGAGAGGCTAAATTACATAAAGAATGTGCAGATAGTAGTTAGGCAGGTGTATGATTGGTAAAAGAGGCTACTTAGGAGATAAGCTGAGGCGGAAAGGGGTGCAAATATAGTAAGCCCAAATTAGAAAAATAGTAGCAGATATGTGGGGTGTAAATAAAAGTCGGGACTAAATCATTAATTTCTATTTCTAAAAGCTTGATAAAATCACTAATTACTTCTTGTACTCAAACTGTCGGCAATTTTTTATTGTATTTTTGTACTATGGGACACACCTTTGAAAATCTCAAAATATCTTTGAGTTTATTCGAAGATGTATTTCAGAACGCACTAAATACTATTTTTTGTTTAAAATTAGTTCGGAGATGCATCTTCGAATAAATTCAAGGGTAAATTCATAGATACATCTCTGAAGTCACCTTATCCACCACATTTGTTAAGAAAATAGTTCGGAGATGTAACTACGAATTTAGTGTGGAGTAAATTCGGAGATACAAATGTTTTTTTTTGTGCAGAAAAGTGTAAGCAGGTTGTAGTTTTCTAATCCAACATAATTTTAAAACGATTAACATTGACGTTATTTGTTTAAAAGATTAATAAAAACGAATATTATAGAACCGAGTAATACGTTAATTAATCAGAAAGATTATAATAGTACAAAAATTATTCTCCAAGTCGATGAAAACTATACAAAATACAATCAAAAGCATAGTCTACTGAGTATGCTTAATCCTAACACCCCGACTCCTCCTATGCCTATGGTAACCCAAGGCATTTCGTGTCTCGGTAAGAATGGAACGTCCTAGGCTAACCTCTTCATCACCACCTCTCTCAAACAACTCAGACTCGATGCATCCTCATGTAATCCACATAATATTCTGACATATCAGCAACACATCAATGGCATAATCATCCATGACATGCTCATTCTCCAAGATCTCCTCATGAGAAGACCTAGGTGGACATCTAGGAGTGTCTAGTGTCATATAAGGGCGTGACACATTATAGAACCAAGTCATGTAACACTCCACATAAGACCACTCTTTTGTGGCTTTATGACTCTGATACTTCATCGGTACCAGACGACTCTCAAAATCTTCCAGAATATCATCCAGTTGTCTGCGGACAATACTTACAGGAGCAGTCTAGAGGGAGGACCTCAGAATGATTTACACATATCCAAACAACCACATGCACCACTTGGGAAAATACCTATACATGATATTAGTACCACATGCCAACCATCCAGATTATAAGGAATGGTCGAATGAAATTCTTTTCCGGTAAGTAGTGTATGGCATCCAGACGATGTCATCATGCTGAGTCCGATCAATATACGCATGGAACGACACCACATCATCATTCCCTCTATTAGGGTGAAACCGACAAGCAAATGGATAATCCTCAGTATACGATGGCTCACGCCTAAACTCGTGAATACAGTGATAGTGGGCAATGATTCATCCCTGAGAACGATTAAGAAAAAAATAGTAACAAGTGCGAAAAAAGTTGTTTGTAACTTAATACCGTAAGCAGGGTGCTTGATCCTGTCATTTTCTTTATCGTCCAATGTGAACCTTTGCTCAACTTAGAGTTTATACCAAGCATGTGGCCCCCCAGTTCCACTCGTGAATAGCCTCTAAGTCAATGAAATACTTAAGGAAAGCCACATACACGTAGGTTGCACTTTTGTCCACAAACATGAGCGTGCTGACCAAGAATAGGAAGAATCACCTTGTTAGAACAAGATTGGTTCTGATCATATCTCAGAGTTTTGATGATAAAAATAAAATATATTTTATATATTTGATACTCTGATGAGCATATTTATTTGTTTCAGATAATGTTCTGACAGAAGAATTTTCCTAGATGAAAATCACTTTGACGTGCTGAGCTGAAAATAAATGAAGAAGTTCTTTGATGAAAGAAATATTTGCTTTAGCGCAAGTTTTGATGCTGAATCTGATGAGAAACTATTTTATGCATCTTCTAAAGCTTAACAAGTTTCCATGTAAACCATGTTTAGAAGTACTTTGAAACCAAGCGCTGATAAGAAGAGTTGCAAGCATATTCTGAAGCAAGACGTGAAGCAACCATGTTCAGAAGTACTTTGAAAGCAAGCGCTGATAAGAAGATTATGCAAGCATGTTCTGAAGCAAGATGTGAAGCTAGAAGCTAACAAGTCTTGTCAAGTTTCAGGAAACATGTTCTGACAAAGTGTCGTTTGCTCATTTAATGCAAAGACGGCTACATGCACTCAAGTGTCTACGCTAGTTCATTGGAAAATGCAATACTGCAAGCAAACACGCAAACATTAAATTCTCCACTTTTGAAGGAAGTAACAGTCATTTTCTTCATGCTATAAATAGAAGATCATTTATTGCAAGCCAACTACTCAACAAAATCTGAAGACCATCTACGTGAAAATATTATGCTGAACATAATTCATTTTACAAACTCTTTGTACAAAACTAATCTTAGTGAAAAATCACAGTTTGTGATATAGCTTTTTAGAAGCAATTTTATTTCACTATCTGTAAATATTTCATTCTTGTAATTGTTCCTTGAGAGACCAAGTTTGGTCAGATTTCTCAAGAAGACTAGGACTAGTTTGAGTCTTAGTAGTGTTAGTCACTTATAAGTTTACTTGTGCATTGTTAGTCACAACAGTTATTGTGTGATTGTAATAAGTTGATTATAGTAAATTAAGTCCTTGTTGAGAAAGGCGAAATCACCTTGGCAGGTGGACTGGAGTAGTTTGAGTTCAAATGAACTAGGATAAAAACAACTGTGTCTTTCCATTATTGTTGAGCATTTAAGAAAAAGAAAAAGAGAAACTTATTCAACCCCCCCCCCCCCCCCTTCTAAGTGTTTTCTCACCTTCAATTGGTATTAGAGCTTAATTCTGAGCGCAACACTTAACCGTGTCAGGAAAAGATCCAGAAAGAAAACACAAATGGCAACTGAACAAAACAACAATAGCTACAACAAACCTCCTGTATTTGATGGAGAAGATTTCGAATATTTGAAAGATAGACTACAAAGTTTCTTTCTAGGTCATGATAGTGATTTATGGGATATAGTCTTAGATGGTTACACACATCCTACAGACTCAGAAGGAAACAAGGTTGATAGAAAGATTATGGATAGACAACAAAAAGCTGATTTCAAAAATCACCATAGAGCTGGAAATATCTTTCTAAATGCTATCACTAAAATGGAATATGAGAAGATCATAAATAGAGATACAACACATGATATGTTTGAGTCTCTCAAAATGATTCATGAAGGAAACGCTCGAGTGAAGGAGTCTAAAGCTCTGGCTCTCATCCAGAAGTATGAAGCCTTCAAAGTAGAAGAAAGTGAATCTATAGAAGCTATGTTCTCAAGATTCCAAACTCTGATCGCTGGCCTAAGAGTTCTGAACAAGGGATACACTAAAGCAGACCACGTTAAGAAGATCATCAGAAGTTTACCCAGAAGATGGGCACTTATGGTCACTGCTTTCAAAGTTTCAAAAGATCTGAACAACGTGTCTCTTGAAGAACTCATCGGTGCTCTAAGAAGTCATGAGATATAACTTGATGAGAACAAGCCTCAGAAGAAAGGTAAGTCTGTTGCCCTTAAATAAATTAAAAAATATGAAACTAACGCTTTTCAGGCTGAAGAAGAAAACTCTAAAGAATCTGCTTCAGAAGAAGATGAACTATCCTTGCTCTCCAAAAGGATCAGTCAAATGTGAAAGCACAGACAGAAGAAGTTCAGGTACTTCAAGAAGTAGGAAGATAAACAAGAATCTTCTGGACACAAAAAGTCAAACAGAAGAGAGATAATTTGTTATGAATGCAAAGAACCTAGACACTACAAGAGTGATTGTCCAAAACTTCAAAGAGAAAAACCAAAGAAAAGGTTTGGTAGAAAGAAAGGCATGATGGCAACCTGGGACGATTCAGAATCCTCTGAAGATGAATCTGATTCTGAAGATGAGAACGCCAACCTAGCTTTGATGGCTACTACAGCAGATGACTCAGACTGTGAGTCAGAACCAAAAGAGGTATTCTCTGAATTTACTAGAGATGAACTTGCTGAAAGTTTATCAGAACCTATGGAAAACTATAGTCAGCTCAAAATTAAATACAAGAAACTCAAGAAGAGTCTTGCATCTGATCTTGAGAAACATGAAACAGAAAAATCTGAACTCAAGGAAAATAATTTTAAACTTAAAGAGGAAATTCAAAATGTTCAAAAAATTTCTAGTTCAGATTCTGTGTCAAGTTCAAAAGATATTCTTAAAGAATATGATTGTAGCTTTCAAACTTTTCTTGCTAAAAGCATAGATAGAAGCAAAATGGCTTCAATGGTCTATGGAGTTAGGGGGAACAACATAAGAGGAATTGGATATGAAACTCCTAAAGGGAAGGAGACATATATACCAAAACCTGTTGCTAAGATGACTTTCACTTATAAACCTATGAACAAACAATTCAAGTTTGTACAC